CCCCCTCTTACATTTGGCTTCCTATGTGTGCTACATAAGCTTGCATGTTATATACATGGGAACATTGTATGTGAAATATATTATTATATATATCTCAAAATACCTAGTTTTCACCGAATTTCCCATAACGTTAGTTAAAGGAACGTTTTTTATTAAGGAGGATATTCAATCTGTATTTTGATAAATCCAATCACTTATTTAAAAACTGACTATGAAATGTGCTTTTAAGCTCAAAGGAAAAAATTAAAAGGTCCAATGCTTGAATCATGATATGTAGGAAAATATTATTAGGTACTTAATTATTGAAGAAAATTTTTTCTATCTCAGAACTTTTACTTGGATGATATGTAACTTTCTTTAGTGCATTTCTTTTTATAAAAAAAGATACCAGATATTAAAATAATTCTTTGTTCAACATATTTGCTCACAATTCTATTTTGTCAGTCACCGAAATAAACTAAATTCAACCTTATTTGTTATTTATTATAAAAAGTTAAATGTCTGCTTTTTTTGCTTAAGCACTCAACTATTTTTTATATAAGGCAGGAATAATGTCGTTAACCAAGTCATTCATAAAAGATTATGTCAGTATTATGTCAGTACAATGGAAAAAATGAGTAAGTCATAATATAATTAAAAATGTACCTCAAATTGACATGCTTATTTTAGAAAAAGTAACTTATAAAGAACATCTGCTCCATTGTGAGAAAAACCAGAAAAATAATGGTTACACATTCAGTAGATAGTGCTGGAAGCTTGGAATAGAAAGCTAAAGGGCATTTTGAGTCAAATTTTTGCCAACTATAAGAAAAAGTTTTTTTTTGTAAAAGATTTCAATATATTTAAGAATTAAAGTTGATACAAGTTTTTGGGTGATGCAAACAATTAAGCTGCTCAGCTGCTAACAAAATGGTTAGAGGTACAAATTCACTCAGAGCCATCTCAAAGCAAGGCCTGGAGATCTACTTTCGAAATATCAGTCAATGGAAACCCCTACAGAGCACAGTTCTGCTAACACACATGGGATTACCATGAACTGGAATTGATCTGATGCCAACTTGGCAATATTTGGCAGGTCTTTTTACATACTTTATAATCTTAAAAAACTGTACCTTATTATTCCTACAGGTGAGAAAATTGAAGTGTAGAGGTTTAAAGATTTGCTTAGTCACACAGCTCATCTTAACTCAAGACTAAACTATCACTCTGTCCTTCTAAATAAGTGAAACAGTGGATCATCTTTACTCATGACAATTCTTAGCTTGGAAAACCTGTGCTACCTATGACCCAAAACATTAATATAAGTTTGGAAGGCAGTAAACTAATAGGAAAAAATTAAACAAAACAGAAATTACACTGGTTAATTCTAGTGATATTTCGTTACATCTGAAAGCAGTAAGCTAAAATAATTCCAAATAACGAAACAACTGTCAAGCTATTCCATTCACGAAAGCAATAATTTCTTTCGTAATTTGAATTACTTCAAAAGCAAGTTTTTACTTACTTCTCCAATAGAATCTTGGGAATCCTGGTTGTATACTTGAGTCTCTACCTCTCCATCAGTACTTTCTTCTGCCATAACTTCTTCCTGAATTAAAACATAAAAGGGTTTTAAGCTTAATAGATCACTAGATGAGGGCTCACCCATTCAGGCAGTTCTCTTAATAAAATTAAACTCAATCTACAACTTTAAAAGAAATGTTAACCTCATTTCATCTATAAAATACTATCAATCACATTTTTAGTACTTGAAAAACATAGCTTATGAACATTAATTAATACATGCTAATAAAACTAATTTAGGAGTCACAACAGTTAATAGTAGTAAAGCCTACTTAATTGTAATTTAGACTCAAAAGAAAATGAAAGAATATTGGTAAATCCTAGAAAAACATAGCCAGTAAGAGTTTCAAGCATACACAAGACTATAAACTTCCCTATTCTTTGAAATAAAAACACACAAAAAAAATCTTTCGAAATAGAACTCAATTTAGGGTTTTATAACTGCATTTTTTACTGAAATGGGAACAAACTTAACTAAAGATATGCAAAGACTATTGTTGGCTACAGTACAATACTTGGGCTATCAGTAGAAACTCTGTAGTAAGTTCAACAAGAGTGTTCCAGATAATGAATTTTGGCCACAAAAGGTGAACTCTCCTAACAATGCTATTCTTGAAAGAATGTTAGTCCTACTGGTAAAAGTAAAAATAAGCATGAAAAAGTTATACACACCTCAGGTCCTACCGGTGTAATACTTTTCAATTTCTTTGGAATAGGCATTTCCACTGTATCATCAGACACTTGGTCTGATGTTTCTATGGTGCTATCATCTTCCTCTTCACGTGTACGCTTTGACAAAGAAGAACTTGGGGTAGCTGAAACTTTGAAATCAGATCATTTAAAATCTTGAATTAAAGCATGACACTGAACTTAATGTAGACAAAGAATTTTTAAAACTCTTTTTTCATTAGCAAATATAGTCACATAACTAAACAAGGATACAATACACACTTAATTGTATAGATTATTGTAATGCAATCAATCAAGTCCTGGATAAATTTCCATCAGCATAATTTGTTCTTGATAATCTACATGTTCACCACACATCTGTCAGTTTGTCATACTGTGGTGGTTTGCATGTTGCTGTGCTACTGGAAGCTATGTCACTGGTATATTAAATACCAGCAGGGTCACTCATAGTGGACAGGTTTCAGCAAAGCTTCTAGACTAAAAGACTAATAAGAAGGAAGAGGTGAGTCTGGTCCACTTCTGGGGGGCAAAAAAAAAAAAAAAACTGCACTGAAAAACCTTACAAATAGCAGGGAAACAGTCTGATAGTGATAGCAGATAAGACTTCAGGTTGGAAGACTTTCCAAATGGGACTATGAAATGTGCTTTTAAGCTCAAAGGAACTTTCTCTTCAAAGCAGATGGAGTAAACCTTTTGGGACCTTCAATTGTTAATCTGAAATGACTCAAAATGAGGAGAACAGCTGCAAACATCCATTCATAATTGAAACATGTATGAAGAACAAATCCAGGAAAACTGGAAGTTGTCAAAAACAAAATGGAATGCATAATAATAGATATACTAGGCATCAGTAACCTGAAATGGACAGTACTAGCCATTCTGAATCAATCATAAGGTCTACTATGCCAGGAATGACAAATTAAAGAGGAATAACATCACAATCATTGTCAAAGAGAACATTTCAAGATCTATACTGAAGTACAATGCTGTCAGTGTAGGGTAATATCCACACACCTACAAGGAAAACCAGTTAATACTTCTATTACTTAAATTTATGTACCAATGATTAAAGCCAAAAATGAAGAAATTCAGGATTTTTACTGAGTTCTGCAGTCTGAAATTGACCAAATAAGCAATCAAGATGTATTGGTAATTATTGGTGATTGGAATGTCAAAGTTAGAAACAAAAAGAAAGATCAGTAGTTGGAAAATATAGTCTTGGTGACAGTAATGATGTTAGACATCACATAATATAATTTTTATATGACCAATGATTTATTCATTGCAAATATCTTTTTTCAACAACATTAACAGTGACTAAACATGTGGACTTGACCTGATAAAATGCACAGGAATCAAATCAACTACATCTGTGATGGAAAGAAACCATGGAGAAGCTCAATATCATTGCTCAGAACAAGGTCAGGGCCGACTATGGGAAAGATCATTAATTGCTCATGTACAAGTTTAAGCTGAAGCTGAAGAAAATTAAAACAAGCCCACGAGAGCCAAAATATGAGAGTGAGTATATCCTACCTGAATTTAGAGACCATCTAAAGAACAGATTTGATGCACTGAACGTCAATGACCAAAGACCAGACAAGCTGTGAGATGACATCAAGGTATCATACATAAAAAAAGCAGAAGGTCAATAAAAAGACAGGAAAAGAAGACAAAAATGAATGTCAGGAGAGACTCTGAAGCATGCTCTTGAATGGAGTATTGCTAAAGCGAATGAAGACATGACGACAGAAAAGGGCTGAACAGAAGATTTCAAAGGGCAGCTTGAGAAGATAACGTATTATAATGAAATGTGAAAAGGCCTGGAGTTGGAAAATCAAAGGCAAAGAAGAACACACTCAGCATTTCTCAAGCTGAAAGAAACTAAAAACATTCAAACCTTGAGTTGCAATAATGAAAGATTCTATGACAAAATATTGGATGATGAAGGAACCATGAAAAGAAGATGGAAGGAATACACAAAGTCTGTATACCAAAATGATTTAGTTGGCTTTTAACCATTTCAGGAGCTACATATGATCAAGAATCCATGGTACTGAAGGAAGAAGCCCAAGATGCACTGAAGAAGCTGGTGAATAACAAGGTTCCGGGAATTGAGAGAATACCCCGAGATGTTTCAGCAAATGGATGCAGCATTGGAGACACTTACTTGTTTATGTCAAGAAATTTTGAAGATAGCTACCTAGCCAGCCAACTGGAAGAGATCCTACGTGTGTCCATTCCAAAGAAAGGTGATCCAACAGAATACAGAAATTATCAAACAATACCATTTATATTTTGTTGAATATAATTCAAAAATAGTTACAAAAGTCAATGTCATGAGACAAAGTGTTATGTGAACTGCTGTATGGAAAATGAATTTGCTCTGTAAACTTTCACCTAAATCACAATAAAAATTTAAAAAACAAACAAACAAAAAAAACAGTTGCAACAGTACATAGACAGGGAACTGCCAGAAATTCAAGCCAGGTTCAAAGAGGGTGTGAACAAGGGGTATCACTGCTGATTTCAGATGGATCATGGCTGAAAGCAAAGAATACCAGAAAGATGTTAACTGTGTTTTGCTGATTATGCAAAGGAATTCGACTGTGTGGATCACAACAAATTATGGCTAATGTGGCAAAGAATGGAAATTCCAGAACACTTAATTGTGCTCATGAGGAACCTGTACACAGACCAAGAGACAGTTACTTGGACAGAACAAGGGATACCACATGATCATGAAAGGTGTGTATCAGGGTTGTATCTTTTCATCACACTTATTTCATGTGTATGTGGAGCAAATAATTTGAGAAGCTTGACTACATGAGGAAGCAGCATCAGGGCTGAAGAAAGACTCATTAAAAACCTAAAATATGGAGATAACACAGCCTTGCTTGCTGAAAGTGAAGAAGACTTGAAATATTTATTGATGAAGATCTAAGACTACAGTGTTCAGTATGGATTATACCTCAACATAAAGAAAACAAAAGTCCTCACAACTGGACCAATAAATAATATCATGATAGACAGAGAAAAGGTTGAATTTGTCAAGGATTTCACTTTCCTTAGATCCACAACCAATACCTATGTAATCAGAAGTGAAGCAATAAAACGACGTATTGCACTGGGCAGATCTCCCACAGAACACCTCTTTATAGGGTTCAAAAGCAAAGATGTCACTTTGAAGACTAAAATGCACCTGACCCAAGCCATGGTACTGTCAACTGCCTCATGAGAAAGCTGGACAGTGAATAAGGAACACAGCAAAATTAATGTGTTTGAATTGTGGTGTTGGCAAAGAATGCTGAATGCACCATGGACTGCTGGAAGAGTGAACAAATCTATGTTGGAGAAAATACAGCCTGAATGCTCCTTAGACGTGAGAATGGCCAGACTTTTGTCTCAACTACTTTGGTCATGCTGTCAGAAGGCACTAGTCCCTGGAGGAGGTTATCATGCTTGGTAAAGTAGAGGGGCAGTGAAAACTGGGATGGCCCTCAATGAAATGGACTGACACAATGGCTACAATGAGCTCAAGTGTGGTAAAGATTGTAAGGATGGTGCAGAACAGGGCCAGTGTTTCTGTATGTTGTATATAGGATATCTATGAGTCATCACTGACTCAATTAACGATGACAACAATCTATATGCAAACAAAAGATAATTTATGCTTTAAACCAATGGTCTAATACACTGCATTATCAACATAATCCTGCTCAATAAAGCCAGGCACCTTTGACAGTAATATACCTGATTCACTGTGACTGCAGTGACATGACTGCTTTTATAAAGTTTACACAGGGCCATCCCTATAGTTTATAAAGCCCAGGACTCCTTGGATAAAATAATTTACATTATATACTTATATTTGAAAATGGTTATATGAACTTTCATTCAGGACCTGCATTAAGTTACATAAGGCCTGGGTTGTATCACCTTTAACATTTGTCAAAAAAAAATAACTGGAGGGAAAGTAAGATCTTATTTAATGACAACAACAAATAATCTAACATAGAATTCATTCAGTAGCAAACCTGAAATAAAAATGGCAGAAGTACATTCATTCATGCATTCTGATATCTGACAGAAAACAAGTACATACAAGAATAATCAAGGTATGTATTGATTGGGGGTTGGTATGTGCCATCGAGTCAGACACGACTCATAGCGACCCCTCCTTGGGTTTCTGAGGCATTATCGCTATGGAAGTAGATTGCCCAACCTTCCTTCCGAGTGGCTGGTGGGTGTGAACCGCCAGCCCTCTGGTTAGCAGTCAAATGCCTTACGCACTACGCTACCAGAGCTCCTTATGTATTAGATTAAAAAAACTATACTATGCACAAGTCTACAATGCACAAGTCTATGAAAACTTCATTTAAAATTAATCTTACCAGTGCCAAATACTGCTGTGGAAGTAGAAGGCCGCTCAATTGGTGAACTCTGAACAACTTCTACTATGTTTGGGGACAGCTCTTGATTTGCAGGCTCAATCTGAGGATGACTCTGTTGAGTGGGTTGTACAAAAGCTGTAGCCTGTGTTTGCTGCTGAACAGTTAAAATGGGTTGAGAGATAGAAGGCTGGACATTAGGACTAGTAGAACGAACAGATCCACTTGTGCTTCCAAAAACTGGAACATGTTCCACAGGACCTTCTGACTGCATAGCTGAAAAATAATTATGTTTAAAAAACCATAAAAAAGGGTTTCATTTCTAATAGCTTTACAAAGAACCAAGTAATTTTTTAAACGAAAATATACACGACAATAATTAAGTCTTCTACTCTCACCAAGGTTAGCATTATCCTTCCCTGTACCATACCCTGTATGGTATGTGTCATGTTTTGTATAGTTACTTGTGTACCTATCTCTTACCATCCATTAGACAAAACACTGGGCAAATACAATGTATTAGGCATTTTTGTATTGTGCTATGTGACTGGTATGGTAGCCTGCAATAAATTCTTCGTTGAATTAAATGATATCTAAAATGGTTTTGGCATCTTTTATTCCATTTAAATTACGATTAAATAAAAGGAATGAGATTAATAAGCTCATAGCGAAATTATGCTTTTAGTAAGCATCATTTTATTTTTAAATATCATAAAATGAACTTTATGACCAGTTTAACTGATAATATATTAAATAATAACTTTTCAATATAGATGAAATAAAATTTTTTGTACTTTAATAGTTGTTGTTGTTGTTTGCCGTCGAGTTGGCCCCGACTCATAGCGACCCCTCCTTGGGTTTCCAAGGCAGTATCACTACAGAAGTAGGATTGCCCAACCTTCCTTCCGAGGAGTGGCTGGTGGGTTTATACATGTCATATACTCCCAAACACTTGAATAATTTACTGAATTCAAACTTTTGTTAAGAATCTAAGGAAATACGTTCATCCATTTAACAAAGCTGAACACCTATTTTAGGACTGAGTAAAGGGATTAAACAATGAAAAACATGATACTTGTCCCTGGGCTCAATCTAGTGGAATGAATAAAAAGGTATGTGTATAAAGGAGTAAAAGACAGTTGTAACTGCTATAATGAGTAATCAAATGGAGAGAAGAAAGGGTCAGATCCTTCAGTGAAAAAGTGATGCTACACTGAACCAATGATTCAGCATGGTTTTTCAATTTTGCACGGATTTCCTATCATTCTAAGCAAAAAAAAAAATTCAGTCCTAAAAAAAATACCTTATATTAAATAAATACACTAAACCTCTGCCATCGTGTCATTATCAGCTCATAGTATACCCTATTTGGTTTCCAAAGCTGTAAATCTTTATGAAAGTAGATTGTCTCATCTTCCTCCCATTAAGCAGCTGGTGGGTTTGATCTGTCGACCTCCTACTTAACAGCCAATGCCTTACCCGCTATGCCACCAGAGCTCCTATTACATATACTAAGAGTGGTGCATTTTCCCCCTTGATTTAACTTAACAATAAAACAAAACAACAAAAAAAGAAGTAGGAGGGAGGAAGGAAGGGGGGTTGTTAATTTATGGCATTAATACACATCCTAGGAGGCACTCATTTCAAAACATTAACCACCCACTTTTACTATGATGTGTGACTTCAGCTTTAAGGAGAGCATCATTTGTCCTTGAAGTCACTGTCATCTTTTTGTAACGAATATAAACAAGCAGCAGTCCAATCAGATCTGTATTATTTTACTTACCTTCTTGTGACTCCACTTGTGTAGTGGGCATCACTGTAGCTGTTGGGGTAGTAGTAGGATTTGTAACAGTTGCAGGTGTAACCATTGGGCGGATACTAGCTCTAGGTGTTGACTTATTTCCAGCCATAGCTGCAGCTGTTACTTTACTTGGAGTAGAAACCACAGGAGTTGGCTTAATATTGGCTGTTGGTGGTTCTGACGTGCTGGCACTTAAAAAGGAGAAAATCCAAGAGTAGAGATTCACGAAAATAATTACTACAAATATTGCTTAGAAAGTACATAAATTATACTAAAAGCAAAGCACACATTTCATGAAACAAAGTTAGCAAAGTATGCCCCTTAATACGGGTTCAGATCTTATTAATTCTGGTTTTCCTAACAATGCTTCAAGTAGACTCTTGGCAGATTAAAAAAAATGTATATTTTTAAAAGAGACAGTGAGTATGAATATTTTAAATCTTTAATAAGAAGTTTTGATTTTAAACATTAAGAACTGTGAGTGAAATGTTCTTAAGTCCTGCATTTAGGATTTCAAATAATTACAAAGCATCCTGACAATGCAGAATTTAATTACTGGATCACTTTAAACTCAAGCCTCACCCCAGACTTTCTACTTGTTATCTTATAACATCATGGGACATTAGTAACTTATTTCCGATGTAAGCCAATCAGAAACTAAAAAATGACCAATGTTTACTCTGTCACAAAGCTTTACCAATGATGTATAGTATGCTGAAACAAGAGTTCTGGGGGTAAAAAATAAAGTTGGCAATTGCATGACATAGTTCGGAAGGAACAAATAGCTCTTTGAATATATTTTTTTAAATTGTATAGATTTCTTTCTATCCCCAAAGATTATGAGATCCTTGCTGGAACTATGAAAGGAAAAAAGGCTATCAGTTGGTGAAAGACTGTGAAAGAACTAAAACTCACATTCCTCTTTCACCAGAAGCTGGAGTTGTTTTCAATGTGATCTGTCTCTGCTGTTCTGGGACCTACACACAAAAAAATTATTCATTAATGTGCTAAATCCCACAAGATTCCACTAAACAATGCCATACAAATATTTAGTATTGTTCATTTTCTCTGTACACTTTGAATTTTATTCAAAATTAACTCTGACAAAAGCTGCTAAAAAACACCAGGTGCTTTCAGGTAAGATTTACAAAGAAAAAAATGATTACTTATTTAACTGAATTAGCTAATCACCTTATTAGTAGGTTCTTGAGGCTCATCTCTTTGCTCAAGGTGTCTCTCTTGATGCTCCCTGAGTTCTCTTTCCAAGCGACTAATTCGACCTTCATATTGGGACTTAAGAGCAGTCATACGTACATCCAATTCATCTTTCTGCTGATCTAAGGCTCCATTCCTTTGTTTAAGTTCCTCATTTTCTTTAGTTAGCTGATCTTTTACACCTAAGGAGATAACCATGTTATTATATTATTTTAGTCAAATACTGGAAGTAAAGAACATTCATGTGCTTAAATGGTGCACAAGGATCATACCATATTCTACTACTCTACTTTGAAAATCTGTAGTAATTCTGACACATTATACATAATAACAACATACCTCTCAACGAGCAAAGTTCTAAACTTATCAAGTTTAATTTCTTACTCCAATAAGAAATGTGTAACTTTTCCTAAGAATTCAAAATGCTAAACTATATATAATCATAAACTATATATAGTAAGCAGAAGTCCTTTTAAATGGTCTTAAATATTTTAATGTAACATTAAAGATATGAATTGCAACATTCTCATTTCACATAATCTATTTGCTGTTACTGTTAATGTGCCGTCGAGTTGGCCCCGACTCATAGTGACCCCTCCTTGGGTTTCCAAGGCAGTATAACTACAGAAGTAGATTGCCCCATCTTCCTTCCGAGGAGTGGCTGGTGGGTTTGAACCGCCAGCCTTCTGGTTAGCAGTCAAATATCTTAGGCACTACGCTACCAGAGCTCCCATAACCTATTTATATACTCCAAATTATTTAAATAATTTACTTCAAAATAGTTAACTTTTTTGTATGAATTAAATTATTGAGATATTATCTTATAGTCATTAAAATAATGCTCATAATAAAACCCAACTTATTTGGCAATTTACATACCAAGCAGACTGGCAGGCAAAATTCAGGTAGGCCCTAACCTTGCAGCACAGAGCTCCTTATAAATTTGACATACTACTCTGAAGGGCCAGAAGGGCCCTTAGTCAAGTGAAGCACAGAAAAATTCTGGACTAGTAAGATCCAATGCTGTCTAGTTTACGAAAAGGCCTCTGGGCAGCATAGTCTGGGCTCAAAGTGTGTCAGAACGGAGTAACGGTTATCACTAAAGAAGGGTTTCACTACCCTATTACCAGACAACCATTAAAAAATACTCCCCATATCAAAACATACAGAAGAGAATTAATGAGAATGTTTAAATATTGTAAAAATGTAACCCATGTCTCTAAAATTACGTATTGAAAAACCCACTGCCATCAAGTTGATTCCAACTCATAGTGATTCCTACTGGGTTTCCAAGGCTACAAATCTTCACAGAAGTAGACTGCCTCATCTTCTTCCTGTGAAGCAGCTGGTGGGTTTGAACCACTGACCTTCTGGTTAGCAGCCAAGTACCTTACTCACTATACCACTATAGTGCCCTGAAAATATGTATAACCAAAAAAAAAGAGAACAAGATTCACTGCCATGAAGCCAATTCTGACTCACAGTGACTCCTCTGGGTTTCCAAGGTGGTAAATCTTTACAGAAGCACATCGCCTATCTTCCTTCCAAAGAGCAGCTGGTTAGCAACCTGGTTAGCAGTCAAATGCCTTAGGCAGCACACCCCAGAGCTCCTTATGTATGTTGTTGTTGTTATGTGCTGTCGAGTTAAACCTGACTCATAGCGACCCCTCCTTGGGTTTCCAAGGCAGTATCACTATGGAAATAGATTGCCCAACCTTCCTTCCCAGGAATGGCTGGTGGGTTTGAACTGCCAGCCTTCTCGTTTGCAGTCAAGTGCCTTAGGCACTAGGCTACCAGAGCTCCTTCCTTATGTATAGTAATTATTAAATGGAAACTTAGTTTGTTATGTAAACTTTTACCAAAAACACAATAAATTTTGTTTAAAAAAAAAAAAAAACCTTCATAAATAAAGGACATACTCATCTCTTGAAAATTAAGACGGTTCTAAATTTGTATCTAATTCATATTTAAAACAAAACAATGACTTTATAGTACTTTTATCTTTTCCATTAATTTTAAATCTATATAAAATAACCAACTTTACTATCAAGTTCAAACCTTAAAGTATACAAAAATTTACCAGCTAAGTGTGCAATTTTTGATTTTGCTGCTACAATAGCCTTTCTTGTTTTTTCTTCCTTTTCAGTAATCTGCTGTCTGAGCTGCTCCTCCTGTGTGGTTCTATCTTGGAGATCCTGACGAAGTCGTGAAAGTTCAGACTGTAGTTGCACAGTTTGTTCTTGGAGATTTCTTGCTTCCATCTCTTTTTCAGATAATGTCTTTTAAAAGAAGCCAAAACATTCATCATATAATTCAATCAAATAATGTAAGATGTATGTTCTACAGACTTAAAATGTACTACTTCTTAAATCTGCTTTTTTAGATTAAATAAAAACGTAAGTCTAAAAATGGTGGCCAAAACAAGAAAGTAGACATTTGAGGATGATAGTGGTTGTGTGCCATCTAGTCAATTCTGACTCAAAGCAACTCTTTATGACAGAGTAGAACTGTCCCATAGGGTCTCCCAGCCTGTAAATGTTTATGGGAACAGATTACCAGATCTTTTCTCTTATAGAGCTGCTGGTGGGGTTGAACCACCAAATTTGGTCACTTAACAACTGTACCACAAAGGCTGATCTGAGGCGGATTAGATACTATTTACATAATAAGCCATTCCAAGTAAAAAGGGTAAAATTTATACATTTCCATATAATAAATAAAATATTGGCAGTGTTTAACACTTAGGCTCTCTAGGTACACAAAAAGGAAAGAATTAGGGGCAGAACTCCTGTCACTGCTCTGACATTCATACCTTCTGAAGACTATCTACTTGACCCTCCAGTGATTTTGACTTTGTTTCAGCTTGGCTGAGGGTTTCTTTGAGCTCCTGCATTTCCTGGACTGAGACATGCTGTTCCTGATGGTCTCCAGAAGACTGAGCTGAGGTCTCCATGACCTATGATGACAAAAAGTAGTAACATATTCAATAATTACACCTCCAGAAGTTCATCTAAAGACATAAGAAATATATTTTTAAGCATATGCATAAATAAATTTGCTCTGGAGCAATTTTAATGCCTCAAAATAGGGAATTAGTTAAATAAATAAGTCATGTTTTTCTTCCCATAAAAGTGGGACTTAATGAGCTGATCAAAATGATGATGCACTACAAGTGAATGTTTGACATAGGAATATTATTTTCACAATAATGAAGCAAGTGAAAAAGCAGCCTATAAAAAAGCACATACAAATGATTTCATTTTTATGGTAGAACATAACTGCTCATTTGTAAAGAAAAATATACTAAGGTGCTAACAACACTGACGTACTGGCAGGACATTTGAATTTTTCTCTGTAGATATTTTTTTGTTGAACATGTAATTAATATGTAAATAAGCCACTACTTTTACCTTTGGAAACTAAAAAGAAAAAAATAATCTTTAGATTTAAAATATAATAAGGATTTTGTTATTCTTTGTAATGAGTGGTTAACATAAACAACTTATTTAAAATTAAAACGAAGTCTAATGAATTGTAAAGAACTATCATTTTTGATATATACAATTCTAATTAACAATCAATTAAAACATAGCTTCGTAAGAGGAAAAGTATTTGAAATTAGGCAACAAGACTAAAAGTATCTAGATTTTACCAAAATTTCTTTGAGTTTATAATGTCCTCTGGGATATATTAAAAGGCTAATCTTAAATCAAATGATATTAGGTAAGTTTACTCTCGAGTTTAGAATGAAAAAAATTAACACTCAAAACTGTGAGAAACTATGATTTTTAGAAGATTCATTCTAATCATTTTTTTGAAAGAAGATTTCCTCAAAATACCTTATCCTGTTGTGCTTTAAGTTCTTCATATTGAGTCTTGTACCTACGTCCAATTTTCTTGACTTGAGTAATAGTTTTGACTTTTTCTTGGATATCAACTATTTTAGCATCCAAGTCCTTCTGGATGTTTTCCTTTTCAGTTCTTACTTTATTTAAATCTTCTCTTAGACTCTGGATTAAGTTCTGGTTGTTAGTCAAAGATGCATTTGCTCTTTAAAAACAAAAAAGGAGGGGGAGCAGAAAGGGGATGACTATAAGATATTTTTTAATTTTTAAAATATCTCAATTTAAGTTTATACTGGGCTACTTTAATAATATTTTTTCAATTAAAAAAAAATTAAAATATTTCTAATAATAATTTTGCTATTTATGAATTCATAGTCTTTTAGAAAGATCTTATTTATTCCACAGGCATATAGAAATGTTTTGCAGGTTAGAAAAACTGAGCTACAAGTGGTTAATTTTACAAAGGCATCAAGTGGTAGTACCCAAATTTTAAGCCACATATGCTTGATAGCAAAACCTAAACTCTTTCTATCACATTTGTTGTTGTTGTTGTTATATGCTGTCGAGTTGGACCCGACTCATAGCGACACCTCCTTGGGTTTCTGAGGCAGTATCACTACGGGAGTAGATTGCCCCATCTTCCTTCCGAGGAGTGGCTGGTGGATTTGAACCGCCAGCCTTCTGGTTAGCAGTCAAGTGCCTTAGCCACTATGCTACCAGAGCTCCCTCTATCATCACATCTAGTGTTTGCCAAACTTTTTCTGTAAAGGGCCAGACACAGCAAGTATGTCAGGCTTTGTAGACTACATATAGATTTTATTGCTTAATTTTGTTCTTTTTTACAATCCTTAAAGATCATTTTCAGTTTACAAGCTGTACAAAACCAAGCCATGGGCCAGATTTGGCCTGAAGGCTATATAGTTCACTAACCCCTTTACACATCATGAACTGAATCTGAAATCAGATAATCTGAATTAAGTGTACAGTTTAACAATGACTAACTCTATAACACTGGGTAGTCAAGCTTTTAAAATCTTAGCTTCCTCATCTTTTAAGATTAAGGAATAATTTCTCTACTACTTTACATACCAGACTCCTGTTATACAAAAAGTATGGCACTATATATGACAATAATCTGTCTGCTGTAAAACACTATATAAATAAAAGCCATGATAAAAAATGACACTAAAGCTTAAAAAAATAGACAAAACAGAAACATTAAATATTTAATTTCTTATTTTTAAAGGGACACTTAGCTGTTAATTTTTTTTTTCAATTTTTATCTTAATAATTTCTTTATTAAAAGTGTTCAAAATAGATTCATGAATATGCCAACAAAAAGAAAAATAACAGAAAAACGTATTTCCAAAATACTTTGCTTCTTAGAAAATAATTTAGCTTTACACTTACACAACCTGTGTAAGTTTAAAAACAGTAACAATTCCTATGAAGGTGTAACAATGCATGCATCACTGCTTGCTTGGCTCTGTAAGAAACTCAAAGTAAAGAGTACATGTAGGGCTCCAAAATTTTTCATGCTTTCCAGAATCAGGTAGCACTTTGGGAGTCATATAAAGAGTAGAAAAAGCTTTAAGATTTCATTTATTATATACAATTTAAGGCTTCTTTCCACACACCTTGCAATTTCAGCTTTAAGTTTTCCAATTTCTTCAGTCAACTGTTGAATACGCTTGGTGTGAACTTCCTTTTCAGAAAGGAGCTTCCGATATTCTTCGGTATCTGGATCTTTTTGTTGGCTTACCAGATGCTAGAAAGCCAAAAATGCGTAAGATGGTTTTTTTTAGGTTTTATGACATAAATATATTAGAATAAAATGGCAGAATATCTAAGTATGTCTACATCAGGTATCCTGCAAGTGTAATGGTCAAGTACCAAATTACAAGATACTAAGATGAAAGCTTTAATGTTTGTTTAGCTGCAAAGCCTAGCCAATGTGGAAGTGAAAAAAAAATCAATGTCAACTGGTCATCATTTTTTGATAGCTGTGAACAAACATTCCAGATTAGTTATGATGGGGCCAAATAAAGGGATCCAAAAAATTTAAAGCTTTTAATATTAAGTACCAAATTTCGTTAATTAGAAAGCTAGTTAAAAGTAAAAAAAGTCTGTAACACATTAAAATACGAAAGTAAATCTAAACCTGATTCAATTAACTAGGAAAGAAGGCCCCCCTCACCCTCAATGCCCTCAAATCAACTTCAACTCATAGCAACCCCTCCTTGGGTTTCTGAGGCAGTACCTACACAGAAGCAGAATGCCCAGTCTTCCTTCTGAGGAGTGGCTGGTGGGTTTGAACAGCCAGCTTTCTGGTTAGCAGTCAAATGCCTTAGGCACTATGCCACCAGAGCTCCCAAGAAAGAAGGCCACACAGTGTAACAGAATACCTCTAGATTTTGGCAGGTATCTTTCTTGGATTTTTCAGAATGCTTGTGTAATAAGAAAAGCAATACAAAGGCTCTAATTCAAACAAAAATGGCTACTATCTTGGAGCAATTTCTAGTTGTAAAGTTTTATATTTATTATTTAACTTTGTAACATAGACAGTGTCATGATATTCTCTTTTACAAATGAGAAATAGATTAGAGAGACTATGACACTCTTATAAGTCATGTAACTAGTACTTAGCAAGAGCGCTTTGTACTTTCTGCACAATTTTCTTGTAAACTTAAAACAGCTCTAAAAAATAAAGTCTGTTAAAAATACCTATGTACCTACATAATAAAAAAAGGTGAAAAATGAGTTATAGATTTAACATGTCACATACATACATTAACATATTAGTAAACATGTAATAATTTTCATTCCAAACTCCAAACTCACTGCTACTGAATTGATTTTGACTCATAGTGACCCCCACTGGCTTTGTGAGGCTATAAAATCTTTAAGGAAGCAGACTTCCTCATTTTTCTTCAAAGGAGCAGCTGATGGGCTCAAACCGCTGACCTTTTGGTTAGCTGCCCAAAACATTAACTGCTATACTACCAGAGCTCCTTATTTTACTAGTTCTTCATGTTTTTCATCTGTAGCATAGTGGCTAAGACACTTGCCTGCTAACCAGA